AACTGCACTCTGAAGAGGCTCATTTGGATTGTGCCACATAGGCCAGTGACCTTTGTCTCAGCACTGTATGCTGGAACTATCAGCGACCAACCTGGGAATCTGGTGTGTTGAAAATGCTACAACTAGAGATGGTCATCTTGGTAGACAGGGGTTTCTTCATTGATGACATTGTGCCCTGCAAAGTGTACAGGCCAGCTTTCCTTTCTGGCAAACCTCAAATGTCTGCATGTAAAGTTATAGAAACAGAAGCCATAACATCTCTGAGTGCATGTGGAGCGCTCCATTCATCTGGTCCAAGAACACAAGCATTTTGATTGTTATTCCCCTCCTTGCATTTGTAAACAATCAGCTATATGCTGTGGTTTTTCTCCTTACCAACTTTTAAAATAGCCCACTAGTGAAGGCCTGGGCAAAGAAGCCTGATGTCTGAGAACCTCAACATATGTACGGCAACCACACTGTATATTTACACACTTTCATAAAGAAACTGCATATCAAGCTTTCATTCAGATGACCTTCAACAGTGCTGCACCCTGCTGAGGGACATCCGAGTAAAACCTTGAGATGGCCATTTTCTGTTCACTAACTTGCTTTAGTAAATCCTTACTTTTGTTAAATAAATCAGTTGTTGAACCCCCACTCCTCTGTTTGGTCTCCTTTCTTATTACAGCCCGCCACTTCCAGTCTGGGTTGTAACAATCTGCAGACAGATTTCTGAGTATCTCCTCCTTTGGTACACAGATCCTCACTGAGCCATGTACTGTGAACAAATAGTTTCTCCATGATATTATCCAGCAAGGTCCCGTTTTTGTCAAAACAAGGGTGAGGTAATGAAAAAATAGAAATATTTCATTAAATTAACATTTAAATTATTTATATGCATCATTAAAATTAAAAAAAAACATGTTTTGAAATATATAAAGTGCACCAAACTTGACTCAGTCCATTCAACAATTCTAAATGGACAATTATGTAACTCATCAATTAATTATTTGAAAGGATAATTTGTCAATTAAATACTGAAAAAAATAAACAATTCATTAATGAGGCAAGAACTTTTCTCTCTCTGTCTCTCTCTCTGTCTCTCTCTCTCTCTCTCTCTCTCTCTCTCTCTCTCTCTCTCTGGAAGCCCCACTCTAAGGGAGTTTGCAGTGTATTAGTGAGTCATATATTGTACAACCACAGTCATAAAGTTTTCAATCAGTAGTTTTATTTCAGTATGTATTTTTCCAGTATCACAAAAAATGTAATTTTATATGGTTAAAACCATCTAGCTTATGTGCACTTTTTAAAACACTGCCCAGCAAACATTCGGACGTTTAATGACAGTTGAACGGTCACAACTGTAAAATACCTGAAATTAAGAAAAATTAACATGACATCTACTGCATTTTCCTTGCCCGGCCTCGAACCTGGATCCTCCGGGGCAAGAGTCACCCGCTCTTCCAACTGAGCTATGCCAGCGACTACTTGACTAGCAGACTTTTTTATATAGATAGGTAGAGGGTAAAGTGCGGGGTACACTAACCAATCAGAGGACAGAGGAGATCTGCCACAGGCCACGCCTCCAGAGTGCCAAAACCCTTACAGCCGAGCGAGCAGGAGTCAGAAACCGAGCGCGCAGAGAGGCTGCCGAGCGCGCACAGAGGCTGCCGCGCGCGCACAGAGGCTGCCGCGCGCGCACGTTTTCCTCTGCCGTGTGCTCGTTGACAACGCGCGCACGCAGGTTTGTCACTTGTGCACATCCTTGTGCGCTCACAGACACAGTTTGCTCCCTCTCAGTGCACAAATGACCTCTCGCCATGTATATTTCCGCTCGCGAGTCCCGTTCACACGCGCGCTGTGGACCCAATGCGCGTGCACGGGTTGTGGCACGCTTTAAACGCCATAATAACCGGTTGGAAGAATGGAACACAGAAGTGTCCCTCCGAGAGCTTCATCAACAGGTCATATTTCAACCCATTTTTATGTTAAATGCACTGGGTTTTACACCCATCTACATATACCCTATTAATTATTTCACCGTATTACATCTACATTTCATGGTTAAACAGTACATGTTAAAATGGTAGTTAGCTAGCTGCTTTGATAAGCTCAACTAGTGCAAAAGCGGCAGTGACCTAAAATGCATGAATATAATTTTACTTACCGAAAAAATGAAGTGGAGATTCCTTGGACGCTTTATTAATGCAATTAATACCACAGCAAGTCATTTTGTCCAACAATTGCACAAAAAAAAAAAAAAAAAAAGAATACACAAACGCTACAACTACTGGTCTAAGTTCAGAGACTAAAAATCGCGGAACAGTTTTCAGGCGAGACCGAGGCTCAGACTGAGGCCACTGAGGCCTTTCGACGGAGCTAGCTCTGTGGTCACGCGGGTCTGATGCTCATTAATTATACAGAATTTTAGGCTTTTATTACACTTAAACAGAAGAGTGACAAAAAAATGCACCCCCCTCAGAGTTGTCATGAGTGTAAACTAGATCATTTAAACAAAAAACATGTTTTGGTACCAGGCTGTAAACATGTTTATTTCTGCTGTGAAATTGGTATTTTTAACATGGGAGTCAATGAGAATTTGCTCGCTTCTGACACCAGCCCCCAGCGGATGAGGGTGGAACTGCAATTTATTTCACTTCCGTGTTGGCTTCAATTTCAGACCCGCATTGTGGGGGCTTGGATACGTATAACGATATGGGGAGATGATACAATATATCACGATATATTGTGATACTTTCAGTCAGACGGTATTAGCGATTTTTTTAGACTGATTGTATTGTAGGAAAATTCAACAAACAATCCAAACTGATACTTAACGTGTTTAACATGAGGTATTTGAACTATAATACAGGGATGTATATTTTAATGGTGGAAACTAAACCTATTGCATACGGCTGCCACCTAGTGGTCAATGTTTGAACTGCACCAAAAGGAAAACAAAATACACAACTGTTTCCATGTAAATTCTTCCAAAATTTAGATACACAGTTACCGATATACACAGCTATATCGATATAATATTGCTAGAAAAAATATCACGATATATTGCCATATCGATATTTTTTACATACCTAAGCAGTATGTGAGATTCAGGCATTTAAAGCATTTGCAGAACACCATGGGTGTAAGAATGTACAGAGCCACGTGTGCCAAGCAAACTAGAGTTCCTGCAAAGAATGTAGAACCAAAATGTCTCAGTTTATTGGGTTCTCTATGCAAACATATTAGTTTCTAACCTGCCTCAATTTAATGCAAGATGCATTTGTGTTAAATAATGTCATCAGAAGCATGAATTAAAACAATTTCAAAGTTTAGAATTGGACAAATGCTTGGCAACTGCCTAGATTAATTTCTTTTTTGAAATGCAAAGATTGAAAAATGAGTTATTTACTGTTTAAACCTGACTTGTACCTCTAGTGGTCTTGAGCTAAAGGCGAATGAAAACTCTATGCATACTGTTGTTACCAGAGACAGAAATAGCCACAGTAATATGCAACAGTGTATGTTTGTGTATTTGGAAGATGTCTTTGTCCAAAGCTGCTTACAAATGAGGATGTAACAGTGCAGTTACAATGGAGGCTAACAATAAGGTAAAGAACATTAGTCAGGCTTTGCCAAAGGTGACGGGGTGACTGTGTGGAAGTAGAAAGCAAGCACAGAAGGATGTGCATAGAGCAGCAGAGCAAGGGAGGGGATAGTGCAGGAGGACATGTAAATATTTTTCCAATATTTGTGCACACATCTAAAAATAATACTATATTTCAGTCATACACAGAGGCTCTCAGTGCACTAACATTTAGTATAAATTCTTTAAAATATACTAAAATGATATAGGATCTTAGAAAGAGGCTCAGCTCAGCAAAGGCGGCCCCAAGTAAGGGTTGGAAGGAGAAAACCACCATCAAAATCAGCTGGTATCACCCCTCCACCTCATGTGGCCAGGAGGTTTTATACACATAAAATGTTTCATGAACGTTAAAAGGGCAAAACTCAACCTTTTCATTGCATTGTGCTTTGATTTGGGTCTCTACTGCCTCCAAATGTGTAAAAAAATGTCCATGCATTTTTTTCGTCAGTGTTTGTCTTTAGGAAATGCGTGCCTAAAAACAAGGTGTTTCTAAAAGTGTGACATTTGTGTGACATCACAAACAGGGACAGTTACATAGAATCACCTTTCAAGTGTAAGAGAGAACTACAATTGGAGGATTGGCAGTTCTGCTCCGATCCCCTCCGGAACATCAAAGCTTCTCAGCTTATAGCAGCCTGAGTATAGGTTGGGTGGGCATGGCCAGCTCCAGCTTGTTTTCTTAAAGCGACCGAACCCTGAAACAGCTCATTCTGGATGGTACTGAAGCTGTCATGAATAAAACTGCTGAAATTGTTTTCTGTTAGAAGGATTTTATGCAAAGAACTTTATAAATATATTTTTTATCGACCACAGAACTATTACAACTTAGGAAAAAAGTCTAAATAGATTTCAGTTAATATACAAACAGGACAAGTTTCAAGAAGCTGCAACTTTTTAAAGATTTATTCATGCTTCTCATCTTTTTGTTCTTCATAGCACAAAAAAACCTGAAAAAATATTAATTCAAAGTGGCTTATATCAGAAGGATTTGATGAGCCTCCTCAAAAATCAACACCAGCCCCCCATTTGGCCACCCCTTCTGGTGCCCCTGCTGCTCAAACAACATTCAGTCACCATTTCTGAGATTCTGCAGCTTTTTTAAATTTGTTTTGGTACCTCTTCTGAGCTCTAACTAAAAAAATGATGCTGCAGTTTTCACTAATCACAACAGTTCAGCGTAATCTGGTTCACCGAGTTTTTGTTGACAGTTTAACTTAAATACATTCGCGATTGCTTTGAGAGCTGTTAATATCCAGTTAAGGACTTAGTGTTAGTTTCAACTCATTATTAGTTCCATTTTACAGACATGTGGGTTGAATCTGAACGCGTTTGAAGGATATTTCACAATATTCACACTGAAACAACAAACCTTTAGATTGTTGATCATTGGAACTTCGACCATTAAAGATCAGCGTTTTTCCTTTGGAAAACTGCACACAAACGTTCCAGCCCAACTCTCAGCATGCGGTTCCATCCCAGATGTGCAACAGCAGTGCGGATCTATAGGAGGACCGTGTTTGTTGGTGTTTTGGTCCATTGAACCCTTGCAGCTCGTCATGTTGTTGCGTTTCTTGTCTAGTCTGCATTTTTCCACTCATGAATCCTCTGCGTGGAGACTTGGCTGTACTTCTTACATCCTGATCCGGAATGTTCTGACATCCATTTGGTCTAAACGCAAGTCCAAAAAGCCGCATTCAGATCACCGCGCAAAAAAAAAAAAAAAGGGGGGGGGGGGGGGGGGGGTAAAGCCTAGAGACGAAAATGAGCTTCCACCACGCAAGTTTCCACGGTTAGATCACATCTGGTGCTTCCGTTTTGGTTTGGAACTCGTTGTTCCGGTGTTTATGACGAGTCGCTTTAATCCACCTGTTGGGGGGCGAGCAAAGAGCGACGCCTGAGGATCCGCGAGTATCCAGATGTGTGTGGCAGGCGCGCTGCGGAGCGCTGCAGCTGCAGACGGGTCGTGCGCACTTGGAGACGCATTGAGCCCTGTGGCACTGTGAGGGAGGGAAAAAAACAGTCCTCTAAACGAGCAACTCATCCACACCATGACTGAAATTATTGGATAAATTAACATTAATGTTGGTCATTTATGAAAATGCTTCCCAGATATTTCCATTCTTCCTTATTTTGACAAATTTTCCACAAAAAATAATAGATATTTTTGTTTCATTTACCAATTTAGTTATCTTACTGTATTTTTTGCTGAAAAACGTGGAAATAAGCAGCCGATCTGGTCTTAAATCAGGTTAAAATTCATTCTAATGGCTGACAGATAATTGCAGACCTATTGAAGTTGTCTAAAGGGGGAAACTTGACAGGAACAGCTCCCATTCCTCCTGCCTAATTCATATCTGAGCCGCATGCTCTCAGTCTCTTTCCCTCTGCCTTCCAACTTTAATATGTGTTAATGCTGTTTTCATCCTAATGGTTACAGTAGATTGCAATTTTTTATTTTTCCCTATTCTTTAAGTGTATGTGCTGTTTTAATTTCCCCAATGTGGGATCAATAAAGTCTCTTCTGCATAATGTCTTCCCACATGTTTAAATGCTTCCCTGCCAGAGTCATTCTTTGCGTGTCTGTTTGACTCTGACTATGCTGGCAGACCGTTTACCCAATGAGGAAACATTTTTACATCCAGAGGACCTTTGATTGTTTCTGTCAACAAGGAAAAGCTAACATCTGTTCAATTGACCCAACAAAGGTTGAATATGTTTAACCGTTTTTTAAAATATCTTTATCTTCCTCTGAGCGGCATTTAAAAGCAGCTCTGCATAAATAAAAAATATTTTCAAGGAGAAAGTTGTGATTTTAAACATTCACTGTGCTTGCAGGATCTTTACTAAATTATCCCTCAATCCCTTTTTATTTATTTAATTATTTTTGTCACACGCTATAACAGCAAAGCCAGAATTGAGAAGCATTATGCTCTAAATGGATGAGAGGCTCTTGGGGAAATTGTGGAAAAAAAAATTTAAAAGCTCTATGTAAGATGTAGAAACTCAACTGATACATTTCAGCATAAAAAATACCCCAACAAAAATATTTAACTGGATCTGTGGAAAGAACTTCCTTGGATAAGCAGAAGAAAATGGATGGATAGATGTGGAAACAAAAAAAAATGTTTTTTTTTAATTCAGTACTTGGGGAAGTAATGTAAACTCATACCACTAATTGCGCTGTTGTACTAAACTTAAAAGACATTCCCAAATTTAATAGAATTAGTACATTCCTCAGTAACTTCCATATGCTGCCTTCTGTTGGAGGATCTACTGGCAGCGGGGCGGCTGGGCTCAGTTGCTCCAGTAGTAAGGCATGCTTCTTAGAAAACACTACAAACACGCATGCTTTTAACTATTTGAAATATTAGTGAGTAAATACACTATAACAGCAGTTATTGTTACTTTAGACACAACAGCTTCTCATTTAGTTTTAAAATACAGCTATTTTGTAAAATAATGCACTTTCTGGGTTATTTATCTCAGTGACATCATTCAATATTTGTCTAAGAAACTCTTTTCAATTTCAGATAAATGCACCCACAAGCGTTGGTTCCACATTTTGCATTAGGCCAACTATTCCCAAAAATCTATATTTAATAATGCTTAGGCTCCGCCCACAGCAGGTAGGGCCATCATGGTGATCCAAGCCTGTTTTCAGGGTGGCACTGGTAGCACCCCTCCCTAGAACCGCCACTGACTGTGGGTAGCAAACACCAAATATTATTATTATGTATTTATTGGTATTATGTGATGCCTTTAGTCACATATTAAAATCCATTTGATGAAAAAGTAATTTAATTCTTCCACAATCTAAAATTAGATGATGATGATGATGATGATGATGATGATGATGATGATGATGATGATGATGATGATGATTATTATTATTTTATATTTCAGGCTCTGCTGGGGACAGCATGTTGAACAAGACTGACTTAAAATAATACAACTATTGCTTTTTACAAATTTAAGAGAAATAAATATTTAGCAGATGGTCCCAGAAAGGATTTCAAGCAGTCTTTATATAAATTGTCACACAAAAAAAAAGAAGAAAAAACACCAGCCCTCTTTACATCAGAGTCACTTGGGCTGACAACAGAATCTGATCAGACGTTTACAATTCAGCTGAATTCCCTTAAAACTTACGTTTCATCACAATTTAAATCTCCGTAACGCAGAAAAGAAAAACAACTCTGTGGGACCTGGAGCACAAAGCTGCAGATGAGACGTTGCTTCTTGGGTTAGGTATTAGAAAGCAGTGAATTCAGTCTGCATAAACCCAACGATGACATAGTCATAAGGTCACTTTTCAATTCACTCAGCTTAAAAAAAACAAGTTCATAAAAGTAAACAAACTCACTAACGTTGCTTAACATCTGCCTCTAACAGGTCAGAAAACAGAAACCACTGCTGGTTCTAAAAATAGCCCCAAAGCTAATTTTTCCTCCATAAAAGGGCATTTGACTGGGGACTGATTGCAGCAGACGTTTAAACAACATCTAATGCGTTGTGGAGTGGGACACAGAAACGGCCGAGGGTTCTGCTTTCCGCACTGATGTGTTCACTTTTTCAAAGGTGCCGCATAGCAGCACAGACATTTTTTTGCTCTAATGAAGGTAATGTGTCTAGCATTGCTTGATTAAATTCCTCCTCCAGGAGAAACAGAGTGAGTTTTGGTGCAGAGGGGTTTAGACGCAGGAGGAGGCTTGTTTCTGCTTCAGAGTTTGTCAGCTGGAGGTGGTTTGGGTGCTGTCACTCATGTGGTCAGGGGATTATTTTCTGCAGGTGACTCTGCTGCACCGTTGTATGCATGTTTAACTTCTAAAAAATTAGCATTTTAGGGTTTTAGAAGATCGAGCAACCTTGTAGTCGGTAGTTAAATGTGATTCAACAAATGGTGCAGTTTTGCATCAAGGTGTGACGAGAGACAGAATAATGTGGGTCAGGCGTTTCTTGCAACTACAACACAAGCTTTTTTACATTTCTGCTATTCACATCCTTTTGCATGCATCTGTGTGCTCCCTCTTTCCCCCTCTTTTCCCTATCTCTCCTCACACAGCCCCAGGTAAAACCTAACACCACGGAGAGCTGGGTGAAGATTAGACTGATCTCTTTTACAGAAACCTCTCTTTCATCTCGATGTAAATGAAGCAGCGCCCTTAACTTGTCCCTCGTCGTCTGAAAAAATCTGGTCACTCCTTCATGCTTTAGATTTTTGTTCTGTAAGCAAAATGATTATATAACTCACAGATTTTCACAAACCTCCTCTTTTATCTTGGGTGCAGCTGTGGGTGTTGTGCTATATTTTGTATCAGAGCATCTGGGGGGAAGGGGGGGTTCCCTGAGGTTGGTGCGCCACTTCCAAAGCTGTTAAAATTTCTATTACTCTCATGCTCTCTAAGAGGCTGCCGATTAATTAAAATTGATCTATTATCTTTCTTTCTTAATGTGCACAGTGAACAAAAATGAATGAGAAAAGGAAGAACGTTAATTCAGTAATGTGTGATGAAGAGGCCATTTGTTTACCGTCATAACAGAGACACCCTGCCATTACTCACACACAGAATTTTATTTTCCAGATACCTTTCAATGAAAAAGTTGCCTTTTTGGTAAAACCAATTAAAATAATCCAATTTCTTTTGTAAATAAAATGTAAAATGTTGATATTTTGACTCATCAAATTGAATATTTTAGATTATTTTGTTAAAAACAAGTAAATAACATGAGCGTTCTGCCTTATAAAATGTAAAGCATACAGGTTTAAGACAGGGAGGCATAAAAGGAAGCTTAGATGGAAATTTGCTTTGCTTGCCAACACTAACACACAATCAGACACAACATTTTTGATGTAAATGAGAACTGAACCCAACATTCTAAGTCTTCTACCAATGTTTCTGTACACATCAGCTGAAATAGCTGTGATTCCTTGATGCAGTCCAGTCTGACTGTGAGTGATGTGTTCTGCTCTAATCTCCACTGTCACACAGTAACATTCAATAGAAGACCTCTAATTGGATCTGTGATGGTTGTCTCCTCCTCCATCCTTTCCTTTCACAGCCATGTTGCTTGTTTTGACTTCCACACAGCACCAACAGAAAGTCCTAACAGTCACATGTTTTGTCACATTTTGTACGGTTTCAGATTTGTTTTAACTTCAATTAACTCATTATTTTAAACAGAGAAAATTGACTACACTGTCCTATCGCAGACTGGAAATGTGCATGTCAGGTTACCATAGGACTCTAAATTGGCCCTAAAGGTGACTACAGGGAAGCAGGCGTTGTGCCAGTCTTTCATGGTAAAGATTTACCGGTCGATCAACGTTTCAACCCTGATTAATGGTCATGTGCTTTGGGTAGTGACTAAAAAAGAAAGATCTCTAATACAAGCGGAAAAAATGAGTTTTCTCCACAGGGTATCTGGGCTCACCCTTATAGATAGGGTGAGAAGCTTGGTCATCAGGAAGGGTTCGGAGTAGATACGCTGCTCCTCCACAGGGACAGTTTTACCATTAGGCATAGGCCGGCGGCCACCTGGGGCCCCCTCATGTTGAGGGCCCCCCTAGCCCTGACCACCATCACCCCTCTGTCAGTGCTACAATGAACTGTTCCTTTAAGACACCGATGCACAAACAGGAAGTGATTGGTAGTCATTCCACTCCAATCCAGTTGGTGGCAGTACTGCACCAAACTGTTGTTTGCCAAGTGCTATGAGACCACAAACAATAAGAAGAACAAAAGCAGAAGAATAAGAAGAGAGGCAGGAGCATTTGTAACAAATTCGAAGCGGTAGTCAAATGAAATGGAGTTATCCTAGTGGCTCCAATAAGAGAAAGAAGCAGCTTGCTTCAAAAAAGCTTTTATCTTCACTTCCAAAAGTGTCGTCTTTTTTAATGTAAACATCAAAAGGAAGCAGATATGGAAAGACAATGTAAAATGTTTAAAGGGAGGAAAACATGAACCAACATGGAAAATAGAAAAAAAATAA